TAATTCCACAAAAATCAGTGGAATTAGTATTAACATTTATATTATGAGATTGTAAATCTTCAGGGGAAGTGAGAGTGAAATGGAAGATGTGTCCCTCAAACCTTGTTTCTCTTAACCTTAGTGTGCAAAATTTGTAGAGAATCATACCAACTCATGCCTTTATGCATTTTTTTAGAATGATGTGTTTGAAACCCTTTTGAGTAGCCTTAGGCGGCATCAAACTTTCATTACTGGGGTTTTGCAATTACGAAGGCTAATACCCTGCATTGCCTTCAGCTAGTCTTTGTGAGTAACCGGTCCCTCTGCTTTGCCCAATAATACCATAGTTGATGCAAGATCATCTTTTTCTACATTTCTTTTTTTCTACACTTTTTTTGCCTTTCAGTGCTGACAAAAGTGTTGAACTAGCTGAACTGTTAAGCCAGTAAATTGCAGCTTCTTTGTCTTCTTTTTTTTTCCCCACAGCAATCAGTTGTTTAATACTGGCTGAGTTTATCAGCTTTAATAGCTGTCCTTAGGTCAGAGGGGTGAACAAACCATAGCAAGCTTGAGGATTTTGTGCAACAGAATAAACTTAAGGACTGTGGTTTTCTATACAAAGGATTATAACTTCTTTACAGAAAACTGCTTAAAGATCAGTATTTCGGAGCCACAGTTCAGTACATACCACCTGTAAGTTCAGGTCTTTTTTGTCAGTCAGCTCATATGATGTTTATTTTCATGAAAGGCAGCCATCTTTTGCCTCTGGTTCCGATACTTCTATAATTTATACTGTTTATATTGTGCTATAAGGTTGTTAGCTCTCATACTATAATGACTTTGTCTTCAAGTGACGAGGTGACAAGGGCATGTGTTATGGCACCAGGTCACTTAAGCCCAGGTTTTGTGCCAGCCAGTGAGCTAATATGTACTGAAACACATGGAAAAACAGTTTTCTTCAGTTAGTTCTCACTTTGTCTTGTCTTTATACCACTCAAAGACTTTTGCTGTATTTCTAGCTGGTTTGGATTCTTTCTCTTCCCTCAACTCTGAAATGGGCACCTGTTATTTTTACTGAAGTGGCTAAAATATGAAAAACGGTAACAGCACTAGAACTCCAAAGCCACCCTCCTTTTCAGGTCTTGTTCCTTTCTTCATATGTCTGCTTTTTCAGGCTTCAGTCCAATCACTGATAAGATCTTACAGAAAACTGATTATTTTTTCTCTTTTTTCTTCCTGTCTGTCATTTGGCTGTTTAAACAGCTTCAGAGATTAAGAGAAACTCTTGCAGCTTATTGTTCGGTTTTCATTCCTGCCTGGTCTGTTGATAGAAACCAGCTGTGACTTACCAATACTAATACATATTTTATGTTATATATTTTTAACCTGTATATATATTACACATATAAAAATATATAAAGATTAAAAATACAACAATGTCTATATAGGTGTCTCTGGGTATTTTATTAATTGCTAGCTGTGACAGAGTGCTTCCAAGTGCAAAGACTGCTCAGCTTTGGGTACTTGTTTCCCGCGCTTGCTCAGGGCAGGCATCAAAGAAACTGTGGACCTGGATTTTCCTCACCTGAAAGCTTTGGTGGAATTTGTGATCTCAGTGTATTGACTGGGGAGCTTTGCCACAAGCATTGTGGACTGTGACCGTAGCAAACCTTAAATTGTGTTTTAAGGGGAGAGTTTTTAAGTCACTTAAAACACAACACAAGCAACTGAGAGCTTCTTTCTACAGTAAATGCTTGTAAGAATTGTCTTCAGTAGCTTCTGAACAGATGAGCAAAAGTTTGGTCATCTAAACTAAAAGATAAGCGTCTACTTCTGACAGAAAATACTGTTCCCTGTCATACGCTCTTCTTTTATTGTTTGATAGTGAGAACAACAACAGAGTAAAACTTGTAAAAATTATTACTTCTTTTGGATTGGATTCTTAGTTTGGGCTGTTGTGAATTTAAATGTGTTAGAGGCAGGAAAGACAGAATGTACCCCAGAAAAAGTTGAGCCTTTTAGGGCAACTTAAGTGATATTTTTAAAAGTGCTTCGTATTTCTGAGAGTTAAGTTCAAGCTCAGGTGAGAATAAAAGGTGGAGAATAAGTTATTGATTGACTGGAGGAGGATGAATAAGGTAAGCCAGTGACATTCTCTTTATTCTAAGCAATACATAGCAAACAAAAGATGACAGAAGGAAAGGTAAATTATTAATCTATGAGCCCAGGTGAGCTTTTGTTTTTCTTTTGCAGCTGTTGTTTTTTTCTGGTGGTCAGACTCTACTTTTCAAGAAATTTCCGTAAACGTAAGAGATGTATACCTACCTACCTTTGGAGTTAAAATTTCTAAGGTTAGGTGCCAGTGTAAAAGGGCCTGGCCATTCCAAGACTTTCTCAGAGGGACCAACAGAAACTGATTTCTGCAACAGACTAGGCTGTAACATGAGGAAAAAAAAACACCCCACATTTGGGTTTTTGACATTAGGCCAGGTTGCTTTTGGGCATTTTTCTCTGTATGGAGGGAAAATTTTCACAGAAATCATTGGTTGGTTGGGTTTTTTTTAAGTTTGTCTCTTTCAAATTGAGGTCTTGATGTATCTCTGTTAGATACTGTGAGCGAAGTTGGGGTGTCTTTTAACCACTCATGTACCGAAAATCTTACAAAAAGCATTGTGTACAGTCCCCTTAGTTCCGATATATTCAATTTCAAATATTGATTTTTTTAAATATTTTTTTAATCCCATGGAATCCCAGTGTATCAGACACTTCACTAATGAATGTGTTACAGAGATTTCTTATCAGTCACCTTTCAGTTGAAAGTGTCAAATGCATAAGAATGCTGCAAAATATTTCCCCTTCTGCTGTGGGGTAGAGATCTGATGTGTGAACTCCTCTGGCCACCCAGATGTATTCTGGAGTGGTTGTGTTGAGCCAGAAAGTAGAAAGACCGACTTGAATATGCGCCTGCTTCTAATTACGAGAAGGCATCACGGCACAGAGGCAGCCTGTCTTCTGGGTCATTGATCTAAACACGTTTTTTGCTTCTGATCTAGTTTTGAGTGTGACTAGAGGACCTTGACACTTGTTTGTAAAATTAGGTGTGTTTATGTCTTGTACTAGCTCAAAGGATGTCCTTTTCTGGCTACCCATGTTACTGCTTGATCAGTCTCACTCAGACTCACTATTTACTTGGTGGGCACATACAGTGGATGGAGTTAAAAGAACTTCATAATTACTGATTCAGCAAATAAGTTTGTGTGAGAAATGACAATTTAGCAGTGGACTGGCTTGAATTAAGTAACTCGGACTTAATAGGTCTAGTGAAGACAAGCCCTGTGATGAGATCTACTGAGCTTATAGAAACAAAGGAACTGAGTGAGACCCCTGTCTTCCTGTACTTTTGTGTGTGTGTGTTGCTTTGGGGTTTTTTCTTCTTTCAGGACAAAAAAAAAGAAAAAAAATTTACCTAGATGGTACCTGCTTTTTACAAGTTAAAACAAGCAAGTGGAAAAACATCGAACTCTTTGTGAACAGCTTATTTTTAGTTCATTTGTTCAGGATTAAGTAGTCCCTGAGATGAGGCATCGTGAGTCAGATTATTCATTATAAGTTGTAGTAAAATGTTGTAATTTACAGGTTCCTGTACAGGAAAATTACGGAGTAGATCATTATTTTGAAGTGGGTGTGGTTTGTGGATGTGATTTCCTGTGCTATGAAATATCCGGGGTAGTGATCAAAACAAAATGGGTTTTTGAAGGAAAGAATTACCTTTTAAAGGTCTTGCCTAGGCATAGTTTGAATAAGAAATTTAAGAATAATCTTCATGATTGAATCTTCATGTATTAGGTCATTATCTCCAGCACAGCATATGCAGAGTCTTATAGACTCAGTGCCTTATTCATAGTATTCAGTTTGTGCTGGGACATATATTTGACCCATCCTGTGAAATGTTTATGTTTTCCAGTCTCTTCTGGCTTCTTTTGTTACATTTGCCATCACATTTAGGTCATATCAGTAAAAATACATTTTTAGAATAAAAAGAAAACGCCATTTAATTTTCATGTGTAGAACTTAAGAATAACTGAGGCTGGGTGTGTGACCTCTGATCATTTCATCCAACCCTCTGTTCAAAGCAGAGACAGCTTCAAAGTTAGGTTTGGTGGCTCAGGCCTTGTGTAGTCAAGTGCTGATTATTTCCAAGGATGGAAATTCAAAAGTTCTCTGGAAAACTTGCTCCCGTGCTTGATCAGTGGTGTGATACATTTATTCCGCCCCTCAGATCTAGTAGAAATTTGCTGTGCTCCTGTGTCCTTTTGATGTGAAGCTCTGAGAAGAGCCCAGCTCTTCCAAAGACATAAATGCCCATTAAGGAGCTGTGGATAGCAATTAGGTTCCCCCTTTGTCTGGTCTTCTGCAGGCTGAACAGACTCATATCTCTCAGCCTGTCCTTGTATGTCATGTGCTTCAGTCCTGTAGCCACATGTGTGGCCCTTTAAGTACTTTTTTTATTGATATCTATTTAAAACTATAATCAAATGCCTGTTGATTATAGCATACTTGGCAAATAGATAGACCAGACACTCTAACGAGCATCTTCTAGTTCTTTGATTTCTTATCATTTATTTCATGGAAAGTGTGAGAACGCTCTCTCAAAGGATATGTACTAAAAGAGACCCATTGTATAAATCCACGCAGAATTCAGAGAATGCAAAATAGCAACTACTCTGTGGGAATTCATGCTCTATTATTAGTGCAGGCAAAATGAGTCAATTAAAACATTTCTGTTGAACTAGTTGTTCTTTCAAATCCTTTAATTGCTCAGCTGACTACAGGAAGACTAAAATCTAGAAACTGTTTGGGAGAAGATCATATTCAAGTATATTATACTGAATTAGTCTTATCAACCACTTGATTTTGCAAGAAGTTTTTGTTTCAGCTTTTGAAGAGGGTTTCTGTTCTGCCAAAAACATTAGTCATGGATTGCCTCAATTGAAACTTGGTGCATATTTTCCTTCCTCAAGGGTGATGCAGATGGTGACAAGCCCCTGGAAATCCATGCTGCTTCAAATGAAGAGCGAGCTCAGAAGTAGAACATCAGATCACTTGGCATCAGACAGGTAAAGTATAAACACTGTTAACAGTATGTGGCTACAGCAGCAAAATAACGTGGGAAAGCTGAACATTTGTAAGTTTGACTTCTAATTTTCTTCTTCTTACTGATGAAGAAAGAGGGGAAGAGAAGTAATAAATTTATTCATCTTAACATTTGTCATGAATACACATACTCCTTAATACTGTTTAACTTAACTTATCTAAATTCTTCATTTTTAGAGCATAGCAAGTAAATATATGTGTCCTCCAAGGATTCTGAGTTAATTTAGCAAGGCCTTGGTAATGTATTGTGGTTTGTTTGATTGGGGGGACATTTTTTTCCTTCTTCCCTTCCTATTTCTGCCTCCCATACCAAAAACGTCATTCCCTTGTTTGTCACACCTGTGCAGGTACGAAGGAGGGGAAAGAAACCTATTCCCTGCTGATACATTTTCTCTAAAGATTTGTCAGTGCCAGGGTACAGCGTTATCTTACAGCCTGTAACAGTCCACGATGTGCCTGACCTTTTGTGTTGATGCACCTCCCTAATGAGACGTGCTTAATCAGTTGGGAACGAATGATGGAGGAAACAATGATGGAGGAAACGGAGGCAGTTCCCTGAGCCAGAAACTTGAGCTGAGGTGCCCGTTCTGTTTCTGGCTTAGCCACTGGGTTGCTTTCTAAACTCAAGCAAGTCCCGTGACTGTTACAGTTTCTCGAAAAGCAAAACAAAAACGCCCTCTCAACTTTTTTAAGATGGTTCAATTTCATGGGACAAAAATTGCTCTGTATTTGGGGCTTATTAATGCTAATGATAATGTAATTGGACATCACTTAGTACAAAACGTCAGCTAATGTTTGCTCTGACATCGGTTGATAAAGGAGGTCTTTTCTGAACATGTTTTCTAGTTGCTTGTCTTTGCCCTGTATTATTTTCACATGTTAAAGACTTATTTTTCATCAGAAAGTAACCCTAGCATTGTAGGGACTCCTCATTATTTTCGTATGCAGTGTTCCACTTACGAGTAAAATTCTTCTTTTTTTCCTACCAACTGTGTAAATAGAGTCCAGATTTACAAAACTGCACCATTTTTTTCTTCCATGCATCATCACCAGTCACAAATGTTTGCAGATGTGATGGAACGCACACATCTGCTGAGCAACAGTGTTCCACTATTACACAGTCAGCTTTAAAAGCAAAACTAGTTTCTAATGTTGTGTTTCCCTTAATGTATTTTTAATTGCTGTAGCAAATCCTCACAAGGGAAAAAAGGTATGTTGACTGGCTGATTTACTGAGTACATTAGTTTTTTCTTCAGACATATGAACATAAAGTCTGTAAGAATACATGTTTTCCAAGTATTTTATAAAACAGCTACGTAAAATAAAAATAAAAAAAATAGTAAGAACAGTTTTGTTTTGAGTAAAGATACCGAGGAGAACCAAGGGGAGGTAAAGCTTCTCTAAAATTCACAAAATTATTGTGCTTATTGTGAACTAGGACAGAGCTACTAAATGATAAAAAGGCAGGAAAATTGAACTTTAGTTACTTTTGTTTATATATGCGGGACACTGTACAAATATCAAGGTTCATAACAAACAAAACTGTGAATAGTTTTTTTCTTTTTTTTTAGCATTTCTTACTATGTGAATGTAATTTCTGTTAGGTCTTTATTCACTTTTTGAAATTTTAGTGCTTTTTGCTGAAGGTACATTTTCTTTTCAAGGGGAGGGTGGGTGAAATGAAAGGAACAAAAGCTGTCAGGAAGACTTACACGGAAGTTGGTATCCAGACCCTTTTGTCTTCAGGATTTTAATCATAAATATACTCATGCTATATAAATAAGTTTTGAGGAAAACCTCACTAACAGCTGCTGTCTCAGATGCTCTGCTGTCTTTCTTTTTAAAGAGTGAAGATAATTGCTCAGGTGCCTAAAGTACCTGGGTGCTGCTGGTTTTGAAATCTACTTACTTTGCCAGATGTTGTTTCTGGAGGAGATACGTAAATGGAACTAGTAGATTTTTGACCTAGAGCAGCCAGATGGTGGAAGTTCAACTCAGTATCAATTTCCAGCTGTTCTGCGGGGGTGGTGATTTGTTACTTCTGCTTGAAATCAAATCCAGTTATTTAACTCCGTATGTAAGCCCAGATGTTTTGTTGGATTTGGGTGATCCCAAAGGTTGGAGAACACTGCTGTGATCTTCGAAAAGACATATTTGTTTATTCTGAATGAGATCAATCCTGAAAATGTCTCACTGTATTTTCAACTGTTGGCAATATTCCTTGTTGAATCTGGTTACTAAAATAAATAGTCTCATTTTCCTCATAAAGATTTGCCACAGCATGAGTCTCTGAATTGTGAATGGTCAGCCAAGGACAAAATCATTTTGGGTTGGAGACCGTAACATATTTCTCCGTTCCAGAAAACAGCAGCATTGCACCTCCTTTATTATAGTATGTTTGTCATCAATAATTATATGCAAACTACAACTCAAACCACATCCCATTGTGGGAGAAGCAAATTTTAATTTTATCCAGCTGTTGTGCTGAAGAGTTGCATGGAAGTGACATGGCTTTATGTTTTCCTGTGAAGACAGCATATCTCATTTTCAGTCTGTTCAGATTCTATATTTATGTGATTCCATTTCTTTGAGATAAATTACCCTAGCTTTGCAACAGAGTAAATGAGATTAGGAAAAAATGCAATTGATGGGAATTACAAAGAATTCTATTTGAGAAAATGTGTTTATTGTGCAAGATTCCAGTTGGTGTTTTGTTGCTATGAAGTGTTCTTTCTCTTCTGTATTTCCATACAGTTTAGCTATAGGGATCGAGTTCTCTAGAGCAGACATAATCATTAGTGCTCTAATGTCAGTAATATGAAGAGTTAAATCTCTTTATTAGAAGTAAATTGGGATTGAGAATTTTCTTTGTGGCAAATTGATCAAATTGTATTTGAGGAACAAAGTCTTAATTGCACTTAATTGTCCATGATACTTAATTCTGCTTTCTCCCTTCCTCTCCTTATCCTCTGTCCCCTTTCTTAGGTTATAGGTGAACAAAAAACGTAGGTGTGAGCAACAATTTCCCAAGAAAAAGAAGAAAATCATCATCTGAATCCATTTTGATTTTGAACGTGACTGATCAGCCTTCTGCCTCGGGAAAGACTGATGGTGTGCTGCTTGGGCTTCTGGTATGGAATCTGTGAAAGGACACTACGTATTTTGGGTCAGTCTAGAGACCTTGTCCTCAATTCTGCAGTGGGACTCAAGTCTGCTCATGCTTGTCCCATTGCAGGATCAGCACTGCAAGTAGCAAGTCTCAAAATTCCTCTTGTTATTATTTATATATAAAATAAAATTCCAGTTATACAAAATGGTCCTGTTTTTTCCCTCCTATTTTCTTTAAACTCACGTATGTGACATATACAGAGTCTGTGAAAGGTTCTCGAGATGCTGTTGACAACGCCTGTGTTTTTTAACAGTGAGGAAAAGCTTAAAGTAGCATGATGTTTTGGCTTATAGAATTACGAATGAGAACAATTACAATGACTCTTGTGTTTTGTCTGGGTCTCCTCCTCCTTTCTATACAAATCTTCTGCCTCATCAGTGCCAGCGGGAGGTATATAATGAAGCATCTGTGAGTTCCTGTCTAGTAGATGGATGGGAATGGAGCTGTTAATGTTTGTTCTTGTTTTTGCTTGAATGCACGCTCAATGGGAACCAGAACGTTAGGGTTGTGGGAACGAGCTATAGAATAACTTGGCTGTTTCCTTATTCCCAGCCAGGGAAGGGGAGGAGAAAGTGAAGCAAAGGGAAATACAAAAGGATTTCCAGCATTTTGAAATCTTTGCACAATAAAACCCTTTCATCATTTGTTGCCATTTCCATGAGTCTGTCTTTTGGGGCATGATGCTTCACAAGTTACTGTAATCCAAGTAACTCAGAGCATTTAAAGCTCTATTGGCGAGCCTTAATTGTTCCTAAATTCATCAGTGAATATGAGGACTGGGGGAACGATGGAATTAAATGTGGGCTTGTATGATATGTTAACTTCCTACAAAGAACAGGGAAGAAAATACAAAGTAAATCGTATTCAAAATGCTTTTAAACATCTCTTGGTATTGCTTGGTTAGGTATTCTGGCTGAGTGTATTCCACAGACTTTTAGAGGAAAAACAAACAGACTTTGGCAATGCGAATACCAGCCTGTGTGGGCATTATAAAACAGGCCAACTCTTTTTTAATACAGGCATAAGGCATGTGGTTGCCTCAGGCAGAAAAACAGTATCTCCCAACGTGTTTGGTGCATGTTTTTATGATTGTTTTAGGCTGGTAAAGATGGATGTTGATTTATCAGAGGGAGCGGAGTTCTTGCATGGGGTTTGGGGTGTGTGTCTGTTTTTGTTTTTTACTTTAAATTCACCAACAGTTCAAACAGGCTTGGGAGGATCAAAGTAGTGTTTTTGTCAATAGTGAAAAGGAAAATTGGGAAATATCAGTCATAGCTGTAACTGCTCTTTTACACCACTCTTGCGATACAAGCATACATTTGTTTCTTCCTGTTAAAGATAGTCCTTCACTATTCTTCACTTCACACCATTCTCGTATCCTAGAGAAAATGGTTACCATTGCCTTAGGAATACAGATTTAGATGCTTGTATTTTTTTTTTCAGTAATATTTGGCATATGTCACATTGGCATTTAAGAACATGATGATTTGATAATTTGGTTATTTTCCCCCCTAGACTCCACCAAGATGTGGTTTCCTCGTTCTCCTTTTTGATGTGGTTGTGAGCCATTCTGTTTCTTTCTAGTGTGGCAGCAAAATTAAACTTTTCATGTCCAGTCTGTTTCATTAGCTAGTCCTCATTCAAACACAACAGCTCTAAATCTTTGTTTGTTTACATATATATGTGTGCACGTGTTTAAAAAATCCCGGGTTAAATAAGTATCACTTGACTTAAATGCTTTTTACTTGATCGCATCTTCATACTGCGTATCTACACTGCTGCTTAAAAATACCCCAAGCGATAGACATCAAAACAGAATGCTTTTATCTAGCAGGAAATGACTGCCTTGGAGCACCTGCGTACACACATGACGAGGAGATGGTTCCAAAATGTGAGCAAGATAGCCCTAAATGAAATCCTTTCCTTATGTCTTCTGTTTTTTACGAGTACAGGAAATAAAAAAGGTTTCATGCTGGTAAGTGCGCAAGAGATTGTAAACATTCAGCTCGCTTGGCGCAGGCTTTCCTAATGAGGAACAGGAGAGCAGTTGAGCACTGTTCTTATACATGTACATATGTACGCATACACAGATGCATGGAACCAATTTGTGCGTGTGTGTGTTGTCTTTTGCCAGACTTCGCCTGTGGGTATTACAACATAAGCTAAAACCGGTATATTCCCCACCCAAATTTCACATCAACAGTTTGGTCATCCTTCCACTCAAAGCCTTTGGGCTTGGTGACTGGAGTCTGGGCAACTGAGGAAACGGTGTTCTCATCTCGGCATCCTCAGCTGTAGTGGCTTTTAGCAAACACATTGGGGCCAGGATGCAGTGCCTGCTCTTAAAACACCATCTTTAATCTCTGCAGCTCATGAAAGCTGTAGAACTGGAGGTCGTCGCGTTGGCCAACTCAGCCCTCAGTGCTGGGACGCCGGTTCCTGTAGGTAGTGTGTTAGTTGCCTGAGTGAGACAGCGTAGCCTCTCCTCTTGCTAGAAAGAGCATCACCAACCTGGAATAATCCTCTTAGCCCAGGTAAATATGCACCAACTTGCAGCCTTGAATAAATTCACAGTATTTTGCCGCAAGCATTCATTGTAAAATTCTGGGTTAGGCTCAGTGCTGTGGCTGTAGAAGGCCCCAGACACAGATGTACTAGCAGAGGTTGTAACTGAAGTGGTTTGGAGCGTTCCTTGTTGCATCTGTCACCTTTGAAGAGAGCTGTAACTGCAGTGCAAGAAAGGGCAAGATTGATAGGGAGGGAATCATGTTTTAGACCTAGACCAAAGAGTGCCCTGGGTGTTGGAGGGGTTTGCTACTGCTGTGTTTATTAGACTCGGCAGAATAATCTTGGTGCGAGTGCCTTTACTTCAGAACAGCGATGAGCCCCTGCTGCATGCATTCCTTTCTCCCTTTCCTTGTTTTGTAAAGGTTATTTCCGTACCTTCCTGTAAACCCCAAGCTTCGTGTAAAGTCAGTTTTATCATAATCAACTGCTATTGACAAAGAGCATTTTGGCTCTTCAGGCGTGCTGGGGAGGGGCGTGCTCTGTAACTTCCCACTGGACCTTCCTGGATGTAGCATCCTAAGCAGGGTCAGCTATCACACCTGCATGGTGGGGCAGCTGGCTGGGACAACCCCACTGCAGGGGGTGGTTTTGAGAGGTTACAAAAGCTTCTTGTTTGCAAGGAAAAACCTTTGGTAACAATATCTTGACTACAAAGCAGAAGATGTTTTAGCAGAAAAAAAGGATGTTTATAATTGTGTAACAACTCCCTGTCCTCCGAAGTCTGGACCGTTAGCTGATTCTGGTATTTTTTGACCGTGCATGGTTCTTAACGTGGCTGGAGCTGACTGCTTTCTCAAGGTCTCTCTGAAAGTAATGTTTGATGTATCACAGAATGGTCAGGGTTGGAAGGGACCTCTGGAGATCATCTAGTCCAACCCCCCTGCCAGAGCAGGGTCACCTACAGCAGGTTGCTCAAGACGGTGTCCAGGCGGGTTTTGAATGTCTCCAGAGTGGAGACTCCACAACCTCTCTGGGCAGCCTGTTCTATGTTTTGCCACCCTCAAAATAAAGAAGTTCCTCCTCATGTTTAGATGGAGCTTCCTATGTTCAAGTTTGTGCCTGTTACCTCTTGTTTTATCACTGGGCACCACTGAAAAAAGACTGTTCCCATCCCCCTGGCACCCTCCTTTTAAATATTCATAAGCATTGATAAGAGCCCCCCTCAGTCTTCTTTTCTCTAGACGTCATGTAATTGTGGTGTTTTCTCCCGTTTCGTGTCAGTGAAGTTCATTACTGGCCATCTCTAGTTAAAAACCAAAGTCTGATCTGCACTTTCATCTCGCCTTGAAGTTCATGCTCTCACGGACGCGTTTTCAAGCTGGTGTTACTGGTAGCCGGCATTGGTGTTGAAAGATGGAGAAATCAAATGTGGGCTCAGGCTGTCTCCCAGCTGGTTACCAACCTTCTTCCCCTAAAAATACCTTTCTGCCTGGGAAATGGAGCTATGATGCCTGCACCAGACTAAGCTGTCAGGCTCTCTTAACTCCTCCTGGCCTTTTTTGGGCGTGCTTTTAAAGGTCTAAATCTAACAGCTAACATGCAGAGCTGGTCAGTCATGTGGGCCATGTCCAACTGTGGCAGGTAAGCTGGATGCGATGCTCCATCACCAGGCCCACTCACTGAAGCATGATCTTATTCCTGGTGAGCTTTGCTGGATCTTCTGGAAAGAGGAAGACTGGGTGACTTGCTACTATGTGCCTGGGAGTAGCCACGCAGCAGCTTGAGCTGTGCTTGGACTCGGGATCCCAGAGTCTTTGTGCCCACTATGAAAACAGCTGTGGGGGCAATGGGAGAGCTCTGTCAGGGAACTTCTCTTTTTTATAGGGTGACTATAAACCTGCATAGGACTCAAATTTAATTTGATAGAGGCTAAAGCTAAAGGATATGCTTTACGTGTAGTCTGAGTGTCCAGATCTTGTTTGGCCACACTAACCTGTCCTGTGAAGTAACAAGATGGGTCACTTGCTACGTGCTTTTTGGCAGGGAGGGCAGATGCTGTGTCAGGAGGGTGTTGCTGCAGTCCCTCACCACTTGGGTTCATCAGTCCTACCCAAGGAAGGTGGCTTGTGGCCGTGGGACCGCTGTGCAGGCGAGCACTGTGGGGCTGCGTGTGAGCACCACCTCCTGCTTCAGTGGCTCTGCGTGTGTTTTGAGGTAGCAGTGAGATCAGCAACTGCATGCCTGGATGAAAGAATAAGCTGAAGAGGAGGACCTCATTTCTTTCTTCTTTGACCATTATGGTGTGAAGGCTACAGAACCATACCACCTCCTGTACCAAAATCTTTCAAAATCCATCTTTCAAAATCCCACTGCATCCCGATCTCCTAACGCTGAATCTTAACCTGAAGTACCTTCACTGAACCCCAGGGTGCAGCACCCGTGCCGTTGAAGAAGTAACCTGTTTTCTTTGAACTGAAAATGATGAACCACCTGCAGCGCTTGGCCCAGAGCCCTGAGGCGCCCTGCGAGCCCGCCATGCCCCTGCTTCACAGGTGGGTGGATCCAGAGGCAGCAGAGGAAGGACAGACGGACACCCCAAGCAGAGAGAGGTGCAGGGTGATGCTCCCTCCCTGCCTA